ATTCATCACGCCACCAGGGCCGCTCTCAACTTCTCAACTGGACGGTTTTCAATTTTCTTCAGCTAAGAAAGCCTTAAGGAGGCGGAGCAGGTAGCAGTCGTAGGGGACTACGTCAGGAGAATATGATGAGCGGGGACTGGTCTCCCAGCCTTGCTCCTCAATTATTTGGTAGGTCTCCATAGCAGGTATGGGATCTCGTGTACTCACGAACGACGTGCCCCAGGGCTAGTCTCGGTCATTCTTCTTCATTAGTTTCCACAGGTTTCCGGAGCTGAGCGGCGCAAATGGTAGCGGTGACCGTGTGTTCTTACAGGGCAGCTCGTTGTGCAGCATTCCCCTCGCGTCCCAGAAGCAGCACAGGAAGAACCTTCTCGGAATGCATGCCCGGTTGGACTGCTAGGATGGGTCTTCGCCTTGAGAGAGACACACTGTAATTGAGATTTCATTAATCGGTATGTAATTTTGAAGTGAAATCACAGAGTCTCATTTCCACTAAGCAATTTCCTAGAAACGAGGGGCGAAGGGGTACCCGGGTGCACAGCGTGCCTTTCCGTCATGGTATGAGTGATCCATCGAGCCAGTACTTCTCGATAGCCAAGGGCTTACAGGCGGTTGACGACTGTCAGTTAGGTACACCGGAGTCTTGTCTGCGGGTGGTAGCCTCCGGATCCCCTTGACAGCTTCGAGAACGGTGAGTCTTCCACTTCGTGGGGCCGTCCCAACCGAGGTTTGTCTTCGAGGATCGTGTCTCCTTTCGCGGAGCGAGCGAACCTTGGTAGTGGTGTCCTCCCAAAAGCACTGCTTATGTTTGAGGGGTGCCGTTGCTCCAGTGCCGCGGCACCACTCAAAGAATATATGACTCGAAGCTGTTCCTATGAAACTGACATTGTAATTAAACCCAGGGAAGACCAGGTGCCTTATGTACCTCTTGCGGGAAAGCTTCTAGAATGTTCCTACAAGCACAGCATTACGTCATATTCGAGCATCAAGAATCACAAGCTGCAAGCAATTAAAAAAAACTGACAGGACTTTCTTCCCAGCCCAATGGTGAAAAGCCTAAAGACCAGTAGATTATGTACTCACCTTTTTAGGATCATCTGATATGAAAGGTAGTGCTTGATATGTACCTAACAAACTGTTATAGAGAGCAGGCCTACAGAAAAATGGCCTTATAAGCATGATTACAACGCATATCAGCATCCACATGTAGACCATTTTGCCTGGAATGTTGTCATTCAGTTCATATATGTTTATATATCTACCAGTTTGGCTAACGCGCAATACTGCGCGCATGGTTAAACCTATGGTACTGATCACTGAGGGGTTTCTCTGCTGAGCACAACACTTGGCCCAATCCCTTGTTTCGGAATACGGCCCATTTCATCGTGCTTCTCCCTTTTAATGAACTTGCCAATGACTGGGCTTATCACGTTTTTGACAACACTCGCCATTCGTTGGAAATAGGAAAGCTCAGCGGTTGAAAGAGTTTCGGGGGTAATAACAGACAGCAGAGTGAAATGTCCTCACATCCTAGTACATGCCTTAGCAGGCAGCTTTTGGGACTTTTACCTTTAGCTTGGTCCTAAACTCGAGAGTTGTAGCGGTCGAATCAAATCCGTATATTTATCCGCTAAGGATTTAGAATATTCTCTTATCTCTCACTTAGCTCTATTTGTTCTGTTGGCCATGTTGATGTGACCATAACGGTATTTCCCCAAATTTATCCTTCCGTATCTATCCTTAACTTATCCCCACTACTAATGTTACCTATGCTTCTTAAGTTCTTATGTACCCTCTCGGTCGAGCACAGGGTTAAACACGCGTTGCACGGGAACATGCGGTGCGCGGCTGTCGGCGCTCCCCTGGGTGTGGCTGACAACATATGCTTGTGATTTTGATGGCTATTCTTATCAGCAGTGTTATCCAGTATTGCCTACCATACCAATTAATGTTCCATCTTGCCCCACCTGTTCTTATTCCTTCTAACCAAAGTCCTAAGCCGGTTCGCGTCGTATTAAGCATTACCCACGTCATCAAGTTGGGACCTTTCTAAGACTCTCTCTTCTAAGACTCCTTATGTTATCTTATCATCTGTTATCTATCTTGTTATCTTATCACTTCCTGCCACCCACCACTAATGTTCCCATCCTGCCCCCTATCTTACTGCTTGGAACCAACGTCCCGACGTTGCTGTGGCCGGCGCTATGAATTTAGTGGCCCTCCCTTCTAAGGCTCCTTATGTTATCTTATCAGCTCTTATCACTTCCTGCCACCTACCAATAGTGTTCCTGCCCGACCTCCTACATCACTTATCAGTTTGAGCGCACAATCGCTGTTTTGAAGGAAGTTATGAATTTCCGGTCAAACACACATACAGACACACAAACATACATTCACACACACCAACAGACAAAACTTCTGCCGTTAGCGGACTGTCGGTACGGACATTAAAAAAGGATATATGTCAGGATTGTTACTGTAACCGTGGACTACGAAATAAAAAATACCTTTGAAAAGTGAACAGCAGACCCCTTCATTTGAGGTTATTATCTCTAGGAATCCGATTGATTGAAACGATCTGCCAATTGAACATAAAACGTCGAACCATATAGAAACCTGGAAGATGAGGAGCTTTGACTCCAATTTTCAAATTTTCTTTTTTTTTCAAGTTCTTCAGAATTGGCAAGTCCTAGAAAAAAACTGACTCCATGCCATATGTCCGCTTATTTGATTAAGGACGATGTCGCTACAAAAAACAGCACCTGTCTGAAATATTAAATTATTTCTATATATGGAGGCGGCTCTCAAGGAAATTTTGTCCTAGTCTTGCTTTTAATTTGCTGTATATAGTCATGACCAGGTACAGCCTAGTGTATGAAACACGATGGAGGCGTCCGAATTCGTGGGGTGGGGGATCGTATTTGTTTTGGAGGTAGGGGGGTGTATTTGCCTTCGTGAGACGCGACCGCGATAAAAACCCATGATTTTGCAGGAAATGTGGAAGAAAACTGACCCAGGAGAAAAAAAAAAAAAAGAAAAAAAATCCATCTAGTAAAGAGGAAGATGCCGAAAGAACGTTGGAAACACATTCGGCACGCCTTCTCCAGCCCCGAACAACCGTAGAGATGAAAGACCGGAAAAACTGCGCGCTGGGACAGTTCCGGTCGCCTGGTTTAGCAGAAAAGAACCCTTTTATAATCACCAGAGGACAGCGAATGCATCCTTCCATGACACTTGCCTGAGAAGCCCACTACTTTTGACTGGAGGACCGACTTCGCGAGGCGGAGTCGTTGAGGCGGAGTCACTGCGAAAAAAGGATGTACCACTGCAAACAATTTGCGCTTAATCTCGTTACTTTCCGCTAATCTGAGAAGCAATTTTGCCTGTAGTTGGGAAAAAAATGTTTTTCTGGTGCTGAGTTGACTTTTCGCGTGATTTTTCCTGTTTCATGTGTGCTGTTGCCGCCCTCCCCCCTCGACAGCAAAATTCTTGGGGAATAGTAGAGAAATTTTTGGGGAACTCCGAAAAAAGGGGTGGGAAGCTGGAGAAAATCTTAGAAATTTTCCCTGTTTCACATTGGCTATATATCCACTCTTCTCCCCCCTCTCCCCTCGACGATTTTGAATTATCTACAAAAAATTTCTCTTATTGAATAGCGTTTTTTTAAACACAATGTTTCTGAACCTGGCGCATCGTTCGCTAAACTTCTTCGAACTGAACGACCGAAACTTTCTCAAAACTTTTCGGATAACTTCATACAACGTAGACCCTTATTTGTTTACCATATGGAGAAAAACTCACAGAACTTGAAAGCTAACGGAAACGATAAGCGAACCCGTCACTAGAACCATCAAATCAAGGATTCCATTGAAGAACATCAGTTTATAGCAGGGAATCTTTATAAGTTTTCCTCTAACCATAGCCATCATAGACAGAACATAAACAGCCTATGAATATCCTTGAGTGAGTAGGAGGTTAATGCAATGGGTAGCTTTTGTTGTGGACTTCGTTAGAAGTTACCGTGAAGTGGCTTCCGAAAAAAGATTAGAAAGCATGTCCCTGAAACTTCTCGCCACCTGTGCCTCGTTGTCATCCACTGTCACGATTTCTTCCGCCTACTAGTTTATTTCATTCTCGTCGAATCCTATGGATATATTGATCATAACATTATTGCATCCTGCAGCAACAAACTGTTCAGCTAAGGAAACATAGCCGTCATAGACAGAACATAAACATCCTATGAAAAGAGAGAATCACAAGGATCAAACAGCAGATCTTTGAAGCAAAGCAACTCCACTGACAACAATATATAGGTCGCCTAGAACTGTGTGAAATATACCAGAATCCAGCGTTAATTCTGCGAAAGCGCAAAAAAAAACAACCAAAAATATATCTTTCCCTCATGTACTGCTCGCGCTTTCATTGTTAATAGCTAACTTTCAGGCGGACTTTTGGGAATCTCTGTAATTAATAGACTATTTGTTTACCACTGTTACCAGCGCTAAAGTCGAACATCTGGGAATAAGGAGGGAACTGCACACAAATTTGTGAAAGTTTGCATGTTTCGGATTCAGCCATGCGTAGAACATTCCTTTGAGTGATACCTTTGGTACTTGATTTTATACATACACTTGATATCACCGCAATCAGTCGGAGTCGCAAACAGCGCCCCACCTTCACGCTTCCACCACTGATGTTTTCCTCCCAAATCGATCACCACCCGATCGTCATTGGTAGAGCAAGGCAGTGGGGGCGGGTTCATTCCACCTCCCGCTCACACCGTTCCCGACCGACTGCGATGCCACAGACTACAGATTAACTTAAAAGTGCCTTCTACCTCCGTGTTTCTGCGTTTGTCTGTCTCAAGCAAACAGATTATGACCACTAAGCACTCTAGCTAAAAGAACGTGCTCACGATTCAAATGTAGAAATGTTCCAATGAATGTAGAAAAAAGGGGACAATTAGGTGCTAATCTCAACAAGAACTGAGACGAAATTCATTCGCTGGGATATATTGCAGAAACTACCTACGCAGCGGGCATCGTTGCTGAGCGAAACCCATCAGGGGAATAGCTGGGATGGCCCGGAATCGGACGCAGAAATCGCAGGGTCTTGCCGACACCGAGATTTGATCCATCTTGATGCTGTACCCATACAGATAGCAAAAACTCATTTGTGAAGGACAGACACCAGGGGCACATCATTGGTTGGGGATTTTAGTGGGGTCCGTACCGACCCCCTCCCC